CTTGAAGGCGGTGCAGGTCGGTTTCTCCACCCTCATCCTGCAACCCCGTGGATTCCTCTGCCCAAAATGTGAACCTATTAGTATTTTCTTAATATGAAATCCCACAGTCCTTGATTATAAATCTATCATAATAAAAGATTTAATTTGAGCTCCCAAAAGAAAATCAATTCCAATGTTTTTTTGGATCAGACGGTCGGTGGTTGTATAAGATAAGAAATAAATTTTGAAAACAAATATAAATGCAATAACACGTTTTTTTTACTCTCCAACTACAATGAAACTTCTTTTTTTGAGACAAGCTACTAAAAAACAAATATCAATTCCAAAGGTTTTCAGGTCATACGTGTGCTTGTTGTATAAGATTGAAAAAATATTTGAAAAAAATATATAACTGGAATGAAACTTTTTTTTGACTCTCCAAGTACAATGAAACATTTTTTTAGACAAACTACAATAAAACTTGGTATGATAAGACTGAAAACTATCCAATGCTGGCCACAAATCTCTAGCATCTCTACAGATCACGACCACGAGGGTCGTGGAGAGTTAGCCGAGGCCCCTCGTTGAAGGCGAGCCACTCCATGTCGACGTACTCTTTTTCTTTTTCTTTTTTTGCCAACGGTGCTGCTGCCTCTAGTCCTGGCTCCTCTTCTTCGGTGTGCAGACCTCACTTCGTGCTGCCGTGGTAAGACACCATGGAAGCTTCAAGACCATGTTGGTGCAGGGTGGTGGTCAGTTTGGTGGTGGGCTCCGGAGCGCCCGAGGTGAACGTTGAGATCGGGAGAAATCCTTGTCGGCCTGGCCGACACCGACGTGGTGGCGCCTGAGGGTACCGCCGGACATTCCTGGAGGGTGTCGGGGGCTACCCTTCCTCTCTCCTTGTTTCGTACCGGGCGAAACCCTTGGCTGCAGCATCGTCATCGCCGCGTCCCTTCTTGGAGGTGTTGATTCAGAGTTTTGCAGTCTAGGAGCTTGGTGGAGTTTTCCAGTGGGTGTAGTGGACGCGAGACTTATTCGTTTTTGTCGATCCGCCGTTGTCGGCAATTGTTTCTTTTATATTTTCTCTTTTGGTTCTTTTGGACATGTTTGTGCTGTTTTCGTCCCGGCATCTATTGTTGGTTGTATTGGTTGGCTGCTTTGTGATACAAAGAAGGGAGACCCTTTTTCGGTTTTACATACTCTCAAATGCCCGGACGGACGGTCCGCAGAGTGACCGTCACAAAAAAAATGACCCAGACGGACGCCTCAAACACCCGGGCTGACCGGCACCCCTCGTATCCAGCCCAAATCTGGGGCGGATATGGGGAGCCTGGGCGCGACAGGGCACGTCTGCTACATCGGATTGACGATGGGGTCGCACAGGAAAACACTTCGAAACTTGGCGGTCCGAAACTTGTCTCCTCCGTCGGACCGATGATGCATAGTGGCGCCGCTCCGGCGAGCCGCATAGTGCCCTAGCCCAGTTACGTCTCACTGGACGGTGCACATGCGCACTGTTGCTCTCATTGGCCTTGGTGGGTCACGCTCGTGGTGAATTAGGATCTCGACTGATCACGGCCACGAGGGTCGTGGAGAGTTAGCCGCCGCTCCTTGTTGATGGCGAGCCACTCCATGTTGACGTACTCGCCAACTAGGTGCTCCTCGCCCCCGCTCCCCATTGACATACTCGCCACCGTCGCCGGCCGGCGGCAGTGATAACAGGCGTGAAGCTTGGGGATGGCGGCTGTGGTGGTTAGGTCATGGTTGTGAGAACGTGGGGTTTCATGGGGTTATATATAGCCATTGTGCAAGTGCAAGGCGTTGAATCCTTTTGTCAAAATCCATGGTTTTGAGAACGTGGGGTTCATGGGGTTCAAGAGGTCAGATCGCCATTGTGGAATCAGACTTTAGACGGATACGGTAACCGAGACGGACAGAGACGGCCACACGGATGAGGTCCATATATATAGAGGTGACGGCGCCACAGTCAAACTATCTAATTAATCCCCAATCCCCGTGTCCAAAGTCAAAACTATTCCGCCGCCGCCGTCGATGGGCGCAACAGAAGGTAGCCCTGGCGCTGGCCTGCCACGACCATCCCAGTTTGACTGGATGTTCACCGACGAGGGGTGGGCCTTGCTGTCCGAGGAGACACGCCGTTCAATTATAGGAGTTCTGGATGAGGACAGAGAAGAGAAGACCCGCCTCCAAGAGCGCCGTCAATCCCGGTCCCGGAAGGACCGCCGCAAGGATCCTCGGCCGGACAAACAGATACACCCTAGTAAGAGCCTCGACCCTAACCTGTCGAGGGATGTTCGGGATTCAGATCAACTTTTGTGGATCCGACAACATCGCATGCTCAACCATTCAGAATGTAAGTTGCATCATTAATTCCATCTATTAACAAGTTTTCTTTTTCATTCTGCTCACTTCTTTTTACGTTTCCTTTTCCCCAGCTGCGCTGCCGCCGATGCGCTATACTTCCTGCCAACTCCTCGGGAATGGATGCTCTCATTATCCTCATCCTATGCTACTATTCTTTGGTATTTTTGTCCAGTTTTACAGGAACGCCTTGAATATCATGTGTGGCAATACACATATTGATGTATATGGCTTGCTTGCTGTAAGGGATTCCTTGGATCCTTCCCGGAACTATATTTTTCACCGCTCGAGAGAGAATGCTCAAGCTATCGACGTGGTAATTCTACACTCTTTCTTTGCACTCTACATGATTAATTATTGGGTACATTTAATGAACAGATCTCCATTTGCTTTGGTTAAGAACACTATATTTCTGCCCGTTTGTGTTTGTTATGAACGCTATATTTGTGTCTAAATCTTCCATTTAAACCTGTATTTGCAAAAGTTTTGAACCCGAAATTGCTCTATACATACTGTCTAGCTATCTATATCGTAAATTAATTCTGGGATTGATATAATTCTTGGCTACATTTTAGAATGGTGGCTATCTAAGTCTGAGCTACCCTGCACGGGGCATATCTGCAATGGGCTGCCTGATTGAGATTGATATAAAGATCAAGGGCAAGGAAGTTGGCAAAGATTTGTCAATTATTGATGGATCTGTGAAAGCCTTTGGGCAGTTTGACTCGAGGACTGCTAACCATGTTGATAACGTCAATGGTAAAATTATATTAAAGACACATGTTGTTCGTAAAGGTGTTGAGGCAACTATACACCTCGATTTTGTGGAGGTGCCAACAGGCGGCTTCAATGTGCGGATGCATGGTAAAACTGCCCGTGGTAAAGCTGTCTACTCCTTTATCACGTGTTGTGATGATGACAGTTTTATAGCCTCACCTGGGAAGCATAATAAGAAATTCGTAGCGGCTGTGAACATAGGCGATACACTATGTGTAGACTTCATGGAGAAAAAGCGAGAAGCGCTCTCTTTTGTATCATCCAAGCACGGCAACGAGCAGCTACCTTACCGATTCAGCAATGGAGCTTTGGTCTTTGTTAAAGTCTTTTGGTCAACCATCGTCGAGGGTTGGCCATTGGGTCTGTAATCATTGAAAGAAAAGAAAGATATCATTATTGTCAGTTTTGAAGTTTCGGATCTTTACCCTCTATATACTCCCTCCATTTTAGTATTTCACGATATAAAGTGTATTAGGATTCCTTAAGACAAGTGTTCGACATTTAGGGGCATGAATATTCTAGTAGTTCAATATCAATATTGTCTGACATATATGTTTCTGTAAGACAAGAAACCAATGTAGATTGGCTAAATAGTTTGTGTTACGAAAACCACTGGATGATCTTTAAGAAATAAGAAGACCTCCATAAAAAACAAAGGTGATTCTTCAGTTCAAATAAAAGCAGAGACACAAAAGCAGCTCAATTGGCAACTATATTAAAAGTTGACCAAACCGATTTCATAATTTTAGCATCTGCATGCACGGTGGCCATTCCAGCCCAAAAGGATATCATTGAACGATGTAACAGCCATAGCTTCTTGATCATAATAAAGAAACTAGCCAGGTCACACGCACGCCCAACTTATACATATTGCATCTCATGAGAATGCTAGCAGGCAAAAAAAATGAGAAGATAATCTATCTGTCACATTCAATCGTCAGCAAGAAAAAAACTTGGAAACATCAAACACATGCAGATTGCAAAATAATAAGAGTTCGTCATAGACAAGAGACATGGGGAAGATCAGAGCATATCTTTCAAACTCACACCAAAATGATTTGGTAATTTTGGTACCAAAACAAGCATAGGTTTCACGCAACCACATAACAGCAAGAGTTTGTTGATCACAGCTTTACATGCATCAACGAAAAAGCCCGCAGGCTGTAACTTTGATAAGGCAGTTCTTCAATTCAAAGAAAAACAGAGACATGAGGCAGAGCAATCAGCAACTATTTCAAATACTGACCAGAGAACCTTATCCCCTCCTGCGTCGCTCCCGCGGGCGATGGGAAGGGCGACCGCACCACCACCGCCAGCGCACCCCTCCTCTCGCCTCCTCCTCCCTCGCCGTTGCCAGAGGGCGGGGCCGGGCGAAGCCCGGTCGCCGCCGGCGGCGGCGGGGCCCTTCTCATCTCTTCGTGCGGGGTGGACGGCACGGGACGACGGCCCCAGACCTGGTGGTGACACTTCCATGGGGCTCCATCGCGTGGCGTCGCATCGGCGCTGGTGCTAGCACGCGGGTGCGATGGCGGTGTGATGGGCCTCGCCGTGGTGGTGCACGGCTGGTGTGGTGAAGGAGGGCTGCCAGATCCAGACGTGGTGGGTGCGGGCTGCGGGCGGCATGGGATGCGGGCAGTCGTCTTCGCGGTGGTGGGCTTCTGGCAGAGGTGGCGGCGCAGCGGTGTGAAGGAAATATGCCCTAAAGGCAATAATAAAGTTATTATTTATTTCCTTATTTCATGATAAATGTTTATTATTCATGCTAGAATTGTATTAACTGGAAACATGATACATGTGTGAATACATAGACAAACAGAGTGTCACTAGTATGCCTCTACTTGAGTAGCTCATTAATCATAGATGGTTATGTTTCCTAGCCATGGACAAAGAGTTGTCATTTTATTAAAGGGATCACATCATTAGGAGAATGATGTGATTGGCTTGACCCATTCCGTTGGCTTAGCACTTGATTGTTTAGTATGTTGCTATTGCTTTCTTCATGACTTATACATGTTCCTATAACTATGAGATTATGCAACTCCCGTTTACCGGAGGAACACTTTGTGTGCTACCAAACGTCACAACGTAACTGGATGATTATAAAGGTGCTCTACAGGTGTCTCTGAAGGTACATGTTGGGTTGGCGTATTTTGAGATTAGGATTTGTCACTCCGATTGTCGGAGAGGTATCTCTGGGCCCTCTCGGTAATACACATCACTTAAGCCTTGCAAGCATTGCAACTAATGAGTTAGTTGCGGGATGATGTATTACGGAATGAGTAAAGAGACTTGCTGGTAACGAGATTGAACTAGGTATTGAGATACTGACGATCGAATCTCGGGCAAGTAACATACCAATGACAAAGGGAACAACGTATGTCGTTATGCGGTTTGACCGATAATGATCTTCGTAGAATATGTAGGAACCAATATGAACATACAGGTTCCGCTATTGGTTATTGACCGGAAACAGTTCTAGGTCATGTCTACATAGTTCTCGAACCCGTAGGCTCTGCACGCTTAAGGTTTCATTGACAGTTTTATTATGAGTTTATGAGTTTTGATGTACCGAAGGTTGTTCGGAGTCCCGGATGTGATCACGGACATGACGAGGAGTCTCGAAATGGTCGAGACATAAAGATCGATATATTGGACGACTATATTTGGACACCGGAAAGGTTCCGGGTGAGGTTGGGACTATACCGGAGCTCCGGGA